TTACACTTAAGGACCAAATGATTGACAGCCGTCCCATATAAATTGCAAAATAGTTTGGAAGAGATTTTTGACGTACCGATCCCATAGCATAGTGTTTATGAACTGACACGCAAAACGACAACGGATTCAAAAATTTGAATCTTTCAATTTAAATTATTATATAAAATTCTTGCTACCAATAGAATGTTATTTATATGGGGGATACAATCTTCCCAGCTCTGCAGATTTTGCTGTGAAGAGACAGAATCATTAGATCATTTGTTTTGGTTCTGTCCATTTGTAGCTTGTTTTTGGACACAGGTCCAGGAATGGCTAAAGGATTGCAATATTTTCCTGAAGCTAACCTTGCAGATAGCATTACTGGGTGATCTGAAAAGTCATAGTCAATCGATCAATAATATAATAATACTTTTAGCAAAAATGTTTATTTTTAATTCACAATCTGTAGAAGCAATGATAATAGAAAGGTTCAGAACTTTTGTAAAACATCACAGTACGGTTGAAATATATATGGCAAATAGAAATCCTATATAGATGGTGTTAAAAGATAGATGGGAGGTATTGAATGGAGTTGAAGGATGGGACTAATAACAAATAACCAATAAATAATAACAAGATAACTAATAATGTAAGCATACTGTGTCCATAATAAGTATATAGATTGTATGTTGGGAGCTTTTAGGAAAGAGCACAGTTAGAAAGATATGGCATATAGAAGCAAACCGGATGGACATCATGAAAATGATCGGAGAGGTTGAGAGTAGAAGTAGTTCAGGAGCAAAAACAAATAAAATATAATTATTCTAAAATTGAATGTGTTCATAATGTGTAGATAGTAAGTATAGGCTGGAAGTAGAGGCCTGGGCATTGTTGTTCACTAATTTACCCCAAGTAGGGAAAGGATGGCGGTGTTGAAAAGTAATAAAGGGGAGTATATATATAAAAAACATGGGGGATTGGAAGTGATGCAAACAATTACATTGATGGAAGTTACATAAATGACATGCCAGCAACAAATGCAGACACTACACATCCAAGTATAGATGATCAAATAATGAAGATAAGCACCTTTTTTACTCTCAGAACAGCCTCAATTTGTCGGGGCATGGACTCTACAAGGTGTCGAAAGCGTTCCACAGGGATGCTGGCCCATGTTGACTTGATACAATGCTTCTCACAGTTGTATCAAATTAGCAGGATGTCCTTTGGGTGGTGGACCATTCTTAATACACACGGGAAACTGTTGAGCGTGAAAAAACAAGCAGCGTTGCAGTTCTTGACACAAACCAGTGCGCCTGACACCTACTACCATACCCCATTCACAGGCCCTTAAATCTTTTGTTTTGCCCATTCACCCTCTGAATGACACACATACACAATCCATGTCTCAATTGTCTCAAGGCTTAAAAATCCTTCTTTAACCTGTCTGAAGTGGATTTAACAAGTGACATCGATAAGGAATCATAGCTTCACCTGGATTCACCTGGTCAGTCTATGTCATGGACATTCTTAATGTTTTGAATACTCAGTGTATTTTCTTAGTCCAAGTAAAGTGACACAGGATGGTCATGCTTCTTGATAGTGTCAAAGCAATGTGTATTTTCCACAAGTGATTTCAAATATGATGGAAAAAAAACATGACTAAAAATGTAATTACTACAACAACAAAGGATTTAAGAAACAAACTTTCAAATGAAAGGAAACTTCTTGGCAGGGAAAAACACATTTGAATAAGTGTGGGTTTGACACTCTTATGTAGGTGTCATAACCAGCTATAAAATAACGCAATATATGTCACAACAGCTGTAAATATATGGTAAATATATGGGTCATGACAGTGTTATGAACATATTATGCAGGTTATGACACATTATGTCAGCTGTTATGATATATTATGACATGATTAGGACCGTGTCATGACATGTTGTGATAATAGGTGTCAAGTGAAGTGTTACAGTTCATTTTAAGACCATATTGTTTGGTACAATATACTCAACAGTACATCACATTTCCAGAGTGGGCTCTCTGCTAATTGAAGGTGTGGTCAATTTTACGATCAGCACCAACACAGTGAATGGGAAAATGGATTCAAAGAGAACTCCCTCTGCTGGTGACTTGCTGAATGTGCAATCCTAAAGGAGGGCTGTGATTGGTTAATGACCTATAATGTATACAGTGGGGAGAACAAGTATTTGATACACTGCCGATTTAGCAGGTTTTCCTACTTACAAAGCATGTAGCGGTCTGTCATTTTTATCACACTTCAACTGTGAGAGACGGAATCTAAAACAAAAATCCAGAAAATCCCATTGTATGATTTTTAAGTAATTAATATGCATTTTATTGCATGACATAAGTATTTGATCACCTACCAACCAGTAAGAATTCCGGCTCTCACAGACCTGTTAGTTTTTCTTTAAGAAGCCCTCCTGTTCTCCACTCATTACCTGTATTAACTGCACCTGTTTGAACTCGTTACCTGTATAAAAGACACCTGTCCACACACTCAATCAAACAGACTCCAACCTCTCCACAATGGCCAAGACCAGAGAGCTGTGTAAGGACATCATGGATAATATTGTAGACCTGCACAAGGCTGGGATGGGCTACAGGACAATAGGCAAGCAGCTTGGTGAGAAGGCAACAACTGTTGGCGCAATTATTAGCAAATGGAAGAAGTTCAAGATGACGGTCAATCACCCTCGGTCTGGGGCTCCATGCAAGATCTCACCTCGTGGGGCATCAATGATCATGAGGAAGGTGAGGGATCAGCCCAGACCTACACGGCAGGACCTAGTCAATGACCTGAAGAGAGCTGGGACCACAGTCTCAAAGAAAACCATTAGTAACACACTACGCCGTCATGGATAAAAATCCTGCAGCGCACGCAAGGTCCCCCTGCTCAAGCCAGCGCATGTCCAGGCCTGTCTGAAGTTTGCCAATGACCATCTGGATGATCCAGAGGAGGAATGGGAGAAGGTCATGTGGTCTGATGCGACAAAAATATAGCTTTTTGGTCTAAACTCCACTCGCCGTGTTTGGAGGAAGAAGGATGAGTACAACCCCAAGAACACCATCCCAACCGTGAAGCATGGAGGTGGAAACATCATTCTTTGGGGATGCTTTTCTGCAAAGAGGACAGGACGACTGCACCGTATTGAGGGGAGGATGGATGGGGCCATGTATCGCGAGATCTTGGAGTGGCTCCGTAAGTGGCTCAACTAAGGAGTGGCTCCATAAGAAGCATCTCAAGGTCCTGGAGTGGCCTAGACAGTCTCCAGACCTGAACCCAATAGAAAATCTTTGGAGGGAGCTGAAAGTCCGTACTGCCCAGCGACAGCCCCGAAACCTGAAGGATCTGGAGAAGGTCTGTATGGAGGAGTGGGCCAAAGTCCCTGCTGCAGTGTGTGCAAACCTGGTCAAGACCTACAGGAAACGTATGATCTCTGTAATTGCAAACAAAGGTTTCTGTACCAAATATTAAGTTCTGCTTTTCTGATGTATCAAATACTTATGTCATGCAATAAAATGCAAATTAATTACTTAAAAATCATACAATGTGATTTTCTGGATTTTAGATTCCGTCTCTCACAGTTGAAGTGTACCTATGATAAAAATTACAGACCTCTACATGCTTTGTAAGTAGGAAAACCTGCAAAATCGGCAGTGTATCAAATACTTGTTCTCCCCACTGTACGTATAGGTTCGTAGCATTCTAGGAACTGAGGTTTGCTCTTTCCATCCAGTATGCCTCTCTTTTCTAAATAGGTTGTACACTGAATTTCAAAGTATTCCCTGGAAAAAATAGGATTAGTCAGAAACAGATTAAGTAATATCAGTAAAAGTACCAGAGAGCCCACTAAACAATATGTCTAAAAATAAGCAAAATCAAAAAGGGTAGTTTTGAGATATTCATATTTTTTATGTTGAATAAATGAATGTGAACATTTGTATTTCAGAATCTCTATATTTGAGAGAACACTATACGGAGTATAATGACACAAAGATGTCTGTAGCATGTATGGTTCACAGATCATAGGGTCTTAAATAGGTCTAAAAAGGGTATAAAATGGCCAATTCAAAATCCTTCCTCCTTAAACATCCTTCCTCCCAATTAATTTCCTATGTGACAACTGCCAGAACAATCTAGAGTGGATTGCCCGATCTTAACTTATCAGCAGATAGGAAAAATTACTTTAAGGATATCAAAGATTGAGCCACACATACATTTTCTACAGTGATGGCAGCAACCACTTTCAGCTAGTTGACACTTGAGTTGTGCAGTATAATCCAGTGTATATAACAAGCTGGTGTAGGATAGATGTCACACTGTTAAACAGGTTTCACTGGAAAACCAAGCTTCAGAAAAGAGAATAGCAGGTTTTTCTGGGAGGGAGGGAGGGATAATTAAAAAACAAATCAAATTTTGATTAACTCCCATATGTATTGGGTGAAATAAAAGAGCAACCAGTGAAGAACAAACACCATTGTAAAAACAACCCATATTTATGTTTATTTATTTTCACTTTCGTATTTTAACTACATTTACATTTACATTTTAGTCATTTAGCAGACGCTCTTATCCAGAGCGACTTACAGTTAGTAACTATTTGCACATCGTTACAACACTGTATATAGACATACGACATTTGAAAAGTCTTTATTCTTCTGGAACTTTTGTGAGTGTAATGTTTACTGTTAATTTTTTGTTTAATAATAATAATAATAATAATAATAATAATAATAATAAGCCATTTAGCAGGCGCTTTTTATCCAAAGCAACTTACAGTCATGCGTGCATAATTTTTTTTTTGTGTATGGGTGGTCCCGGGGATCGAACCCACTACCCTGTCGTTACAAGCGCCGTGCTCTACCAGCTGAGCTACAGAGGACCACATCTATTTCACTTGCTTTGGCAACATAAACATATGTTTCCCATTAAAATAAAGCTTACAGAAATTGAGACAGACAGAGAGAGAAACAGAGACAGAGAGAGAGCGAGATGTACACAATAACATCAGTCTAATCTGAAGTAAAGTAATCCGTTTTTACACCTTCCATGCTACAATAAAAGCACAACTACTGTAGCATTAATGTATGTTAGTTATAACAGAAAATGTTTGTAATTATAGAGGAATGGGGCGGTGCACAATTCGTCCAGGGTAGGGTAGGGGAGGGAATGGCCGGCAGGGATGTAGCTCAGTTGGTAGAGCATGGTGTTTGCAACGCCAGGGTTGTGGGTTTGACTCCCACGGGGGGTATGAAAACTAAAAGAATAAAAAAAAAAAATGTATGCACTCACTAACTGTAAGTCGCTCTGGATAAGAGTCTGCTAAATGACGTAAATGTAAATATAAATTCTGCAGATGAATGGCTCCATCTCCTGGTCAGTAGTTGGACTGCAGCTTGAGATAAGTACTCTATAAACCTTTCCAGATCCAGTCATATTCTTTAAAATATGTAATACAAAAATCAAGGGATGCAAAATTAGTGTCAAAAAAGTTTAAGTAGCTGAAATTACTGATCATCTGCAGGAAATGTAATGAATTTCACGTTTAACCATCTATTGGTTTAATTTACTTTTCTCTTTCTCAGAATCAAGAGGTTTTCCCCTGAGCTCGTATAGCTGTTGCCCTAGTTTGGATAGCCTGTCACGGTACTCCAGACTCCGGTAGTTGATCTCTGGCACCCCTCTGAAGCCGAACAGTGCACCCCACCAGGCAGCAGCGATCACGGCTGTGGAGTCGCTGTCCCCGCCGTGGAAGAAGCCATGATTGGCCAGCTCAACCCAGGAGTCGCCTGCCCTCAGGAGGGCATCGTAAGCTATCATGGGAGCATCATGCCCACTGGCGCCACCCACACCCTTGAAGCTCACCGCCCTATAGAAATGCTCCCTCTCCTTCACTCCGTAGCACTCTGGGAACTGAGGTTTGCTCTTTCCATCCAAAATCCCTCTCTTTTCTAAATAGGATCTCCACTGAATTTCAAAGTAGTCCCTGGAATGAATAGGATTAGTCAGAAGCAGATGAAGCTTACACATCATTCTACTTTGTAAACCCAGGCATAGATGTGCAAATTTAATTTGGCCTGTATTGTCGCAGCAAAAGAATCCTGCAGCAACAGGATTTGAATATATGGGTTAGACAATGGTGTGTTAACTGGAAAATCTCATGGCAGTATGTCATATTTCTTTATAAACAACAACTTTCACTAATTAACATTGAGGTGTGAAGTGCGAACCGCATACAGTCAACAAAAGGAGGCTGTTGGGCAGAGATATAGGAGGACAGGCTTATTGTGATGGTTGGAATGGAGTGTTATCAAACATATCAAAGACATGGAAACCATGTATTTGACACCGTTCCAGTCCGCCCACCGTTCCACTCTGCCCACCTTTCCACTCCGTCCACCAGCCTCCTCTGCAGCCAACCACAACAAAGGCCTCACCAGTGCTTCATGTTCTGCTCCACATAGTTGCCCGAATTTCTGACGTACTCCTTGGCTTTGTCCAGGACATCCATGAGTCTGTGTCCCCAGGCCTCCACGGGCAGGGTGCCCCTCACAGCGTAGGCCGTAAACAGGGCTGCAGCCAGGGCACCCAGGTAGCCTGTGGGGTGGTGGTGGGTCAGACGCCCACTCTCCACACTCACAGCTATCAGCAGGTGCTCCTGCTCAGGGTCGGGGAAGCGCAGGCCGATACACATGGCCCTCATGGCTGCCCCACACCCTCCGCCCCACTTGTTGAAGGGAATCTTAATGCCCTGGTCAGTTCTCTGTCTGTGCATTGCAACGCTGCTGCTGCAGGTGATGCCTACAGCGGAGACAGAGAGAGTATAAGTATTGAATTTAATGAAGATCAACATGTTGGTTTAAAACCAGTTAAATGTAATCGAAAATGTAATCTACGTCTTCCACAAAAGTAATTATAGTTTATGATAGGGTCATAATCAAAAACTATTAATGTTGCATACTCCAATAAATGTTAAAATCTCACCTTTCTCGTATTTTTTTTTATAAATGACTGAGGTGTAGTCCCTTTTGAGGACACAATCTCAACTACACTGTACAAATATGATAAAAAACATGAAAGTATTAAATATTTAATATGATGTATTTCCTATTCAACAAAACTGTATGAATAAGGCTTGAGATATGCTTTCTAAATATAGTATAATGAAATTATAAAATGACTAAGTATGAGATTTCACCTTCCTTATAACTGTAAAATACATGTTGCTCAGTTGGTAGAGCATGGCACTTGCAACAAGTGGGTTCGTTTCCCACAGGGGACCAGTAAGAAAAAATTAAAAAATATGAAAATGTATGCACTCTACTGTAAGTTGCTCTGGATAAGAGTGTCTGCTAAATTAGTATAATGTTTAACGTAAAAATAATGGTATGTTTAGTGTTAAGAGAAAATGTGCAGATTTTCTAAAGGTCTCTCTTGATCAAAACGTCTGCCCCCATCGCTGTGAACGTCTCACAGAGCTCTAGCTGGGCTTCCTGAACTCGTTAGGAACGCACATTTCATCTCATGTTAATATTGTCTTTCTATGACAAACGGAGAGTGTTTTTTATTTTAGATTAATGGCTATAAATCGATCTCTGAATGTGCTGTCGTAATGAAACCCCTCTCCCCTGCTGCGCTACGATGTAATGATTGCAGGCATGTGCTTTGGCTGTGAGGTAGGGTTCAGCCAGGAGTTGATGGACAATCGGAAGAGCGAATGAAATAATATAATATGCCATTTAGAAGACGCTTTTATCCAAAGCGACTTACAGTCATGTGTGCATACATTTAATGGTAGGAGGGACATCCCAGCTTAAAGTGGTTTCAGATGTCACGTCCTACGAAAAGGCTCAGAAAATATACTACTGTGTATGTGGTAACCAGGGATATCGCTCAATGCAAGCCGTTTCGATCTACGGTGTCCACAGAACGATTTAAGCCAAAATGTCGGTCAGAACCGCTACCAGAACCACGCATCTAAATTAAGTGTACCGTGCCCCTGTGTGCGTAAATATTGCCATTTGCCACTCATGTTAACACAACATGACACACTTCATAAAGGACTAAAAACGGTTACATACCTGCTCCTCTTCCAACCATGTCCGTCATGCTTACAATGTACTTCTCCACCATGGCTTGATACAGCACAGGGAGGGACGCCCCTTCCCCAAACCCTAACTTGACCAGAGCCTCAGCAGTAGCCAGATGCATGACGGTGTCATCACTAACAGGGAAGTCTATGGCATCCAGCTTCTCTAGACCTCCTCTCTTCTGCACTTCCTCATGGATGAACGCTCCATCCTTTTCGTACTCCCAGTTACCATGGTTGTAGCCCAGGGCATCTCCTGCTCCACTTAGGACCATGCTGGCCTTGTACCTCTCTTCCAGGGGGACCATGTCTGACATGGTGAGATCTGGTTGGTGTTCAATTACTTCTGTAAGAGATTCCATTGGATCATTGACTAATTGAATGTTACATTGAATGTCTAATAATATAAAATACAGAAAAAAGATGTTGAGGCGAGATAACAAACAGTCAACCATTATGAGAGTCACTGAACCATCAATGATCAAAGACGGAACGTCACAATGTTTACAGAATGTACACAATACAAGTTCAGCTAGTGCTGTAAATAGATACCTTGTGGTGGTGGTTGATTTTATAGACTTACATAGGCAGAACTTGAGGATCGGTTCCCTTCCGGTAATTCTTTACTTTATATTGTGCAGTCTCCACTCGCCCCATGAGTCATGACAAACACTTCCTGGATAATGGCCTTTCGAATTTTGAATATGAAGTTAAAATTGCCCCATCTGCTGGAAGTAAATGGGAAATTCATTGTTTATTGACAATTGTACACTATCCGAACGGTCTATTCTCCACTTTATGCCGTATAAAACGTTTATAGGTTATCGTTTATCTTAAAGTTTGACCAAGGATGGCGCCCATGAAGTACACACTTTGAATTGTACAATAAAATAGTTAACTGTTGAATAAACTGACAGTATGTCCTCACTGTGAGAAATATTGCTGACTGCGTCGCTCAGGAGTGTTGTTACTGTGAATCCGAGAACGATGAAGAAAAGAGACATTCTACTCGTTCATTTTTTTCTGGTTCATTCAGTCAATGAACTAAGCAGACCAAACACAGCTGCTATCGCATTGTTGTCTATAGGAGAGCCACACCCTTAATCGGACTGAAACTTTGACAATTTCAGTGGTGTAAAGTACTTAAATAAAAATACTTTAAAGAACTATGTCGTATCGGGTGAATGCTGGCAATTATTGCTGATAAACAAAGGAGTCTGCTCATACTGAACTTGGATCATAAGGTTTATTCATATCACAAGCTTCAGCATAAGTGACAGATGTCATGACATCCGGAGAGCGACGGCCCGGGGCCTGTTGCACAAAAGTAGAATTAAGACATCCGGGATAAATGACTCAGCTGAGCTCAATGAAGCCAAAACATGTGCGTCCAGGCTTAATTGGTTGCACAAAGACCAAGCCAGGATGAGCAGACACGGATTCATTAAGCCAGGTGAAACCAATCCTGGATAGGTGCGCGCTCACGGCTCACTCAAATAGACCCCGCCACAGATCACAGATTAACTGATTTACCATGGCAACTAGAGCCGCGTACTTTTCCCCGTCGGAAGCACAAATCCTCATGGAGGCATACGAGGAGGTAAAAGATATAATTAAGAAGAAAGGCAACACCGCCACAGTGATAAAGCAAAGAGAAAAAGCGTGGCAAAGTATTGCAGACCGCCTGAATGCGTAAGTAGTGCACAATTACACACTCACCGCTCCGCTGAAACATCACAATTACAATTCAAATATTTAATTCACATCTCCAAAAATGCAGTTGTACTGTAATTATGAAACGGTTAAATTTTTAATTGAAATGCACTGCAGATATGAGTGAAATTGTGTAAAGTAACTCCATCACACTGTATAAAGCTATGATAAATTTTTTGATATTTTTACTGAAAACAAGACAAAAATACCAAGTAATTTTTTGCAGTGTGACTCCATTAAATGTGTGTGTGTGTGTGTGTGTGTGTGTGTGTAGATTAAACATGAACGGGCCAAAACGGACATGGCAGCAGGTCAAAATCAAATACAAGAACATTCTGCAGAATGGTATGGTCCCTGACTAATATTTAACAAAGCACAAGCATATATTGTACCCAGAAGGTGCCTGCTCACACATTGTCTGTACTGTTTTAGCAGTGAAAAAGAATACCCACAGACAAGGCACGGGTGGTGGGTCACCAAAGGCTGACCTTACCCCAGCAGAGGACATGGCCTTGGAGCTAAATAAAGGCAGGCCCGTCTTAGAGGGGATCCCTGGGGGGAAAGAGACGAGCATAGGTTCCTCCCAAGATGCCACCCGCTTCATTCAAGGTATGTCCTTCCATCTCTACATGGGATACAACCACATTCATATTGAATCAATTTGGACTGTCTGACTTTGGTTTACCTATTGCCTTGCAGTGTCTGGCAGCACTGTGTTCCTGTTAGAGCCACCAGCACAAGCACCAGACGATGCTGATCCAGTGAGTACTCCATCAAAGGCATACTGTAGGCCTGGCATGTCTTGTCTACTAGCTTCAATATGAATCCGATTAAATGTGATAGGGTGAAGGCCCCAGTGCAGCAGCAACAGCACATGATGGAGACGATGATGAGGAGGAGACCATCTCTCTGGATTCCAGAAGGCATGAGGTATCATGTTAAGACTGTGAAAGTACTATTTACTCTACAATGGTGAGGAGTCCTCATCAAAATCAAAAAATCTAATTTCTTTTACAGGACCCAGATGCTATACAGTGGGAAAACCAGCCTGGCAACATAGTGCGTATTAATAAAAGGACACCACATCCTGCCAAATTCCAGCTGCGCTAATTGTATTGTGTTCACAGAGCTCACAAGCTATCAGAAAGTTGTATGGCAACCACCTCCGGCGCCAAATAGAACTGGCAGACATAGACATTCAGTACAAGAAGAAAAAGATGGAAAATCTTGCACTGGAGTCCGAAATAAAAAAGAGGACAATTAGGAAACTGGACCTTGAAATAAAAAAACTTGAGAGGGAGGTGAGATATGCCTTCAATGTACACTGTATGCTAACTGTAACACAAATGTATTAATCATTATTTTTCTTTCCTCCCCCAGCTCCAAGAAGATGACACAGCTCAAAATAAAAATTAGGTATATTCTCGTAAAGTCAAGTGAGCCATGACATATGAGCTCTTATTGTGAGCACACAGGACGGTGGCATCTTTCTAAGGTTTTTTTTATTTTCCCAGCAATCAGTACAACCAAGTCATCGTTATAAGGCATCGCCCTCTTTTGCCCACCCCCCCAGCACCAGGTGTGGCCACTAGCCTATATGAAGGCCCAAAATTGTGTGTTCCTTTCTGCTCTGACAATGGCATGCCCATTCGTGCGAGATGTGGTGGATGAAGAAGCACTTGTGCTGAGGAGAGCCTTCAGGCGAGAAAGGGTCTTCAGGGACCGGTTGGACCCACTGGCCTTCCCTGATGACCATCTATATGAAAGATACAGGTTTTCTGCAGATGGCATCAGGTATCTATGCAGACTACTGGGTCCCAGGATTAAGCACCGCACTGCACGGAGCCATGCACTGAGTGTGGAGCAAATGGTTTGTGTGGCCTTGCGCTTTTTTGCTAGTGGAGCCTTCCTGTACTCAGTGGGGGATGTAGAACAGCTGAACAAGGCCACAATTTGCCGCACAATAAGGAGTGTGTGTCTGGCTATCAAAGCATTAGCAGATGTCTTCATCTCCTTCCCTGGCCACAGAAGACTCTGTGACATCAAAGAGGAGTTCTATAGGATTGCAGGTAAGAGGATCTACAAATTACAGGACAACTGTTAACACATAGTAGGATACTCATTACTTTGTGTGACAGGTTTCCCCCAATGTCATTGGTGCAGTGGACTGCACACACATAAGGATAAAAGCCCCCTCAGGTGCCCATGAGGCCGATTTTGTGAATAGGAAATCCTTTCACAGCATTAATGTTCAGGTGAACATAACTTTTTGATATTGTCCATTGACGAACACTCTGCATTGCCAGTGATGTGCATTGATTGGTGTAATATTCCTCATCTTATGATTTCAGATGGTCTGCAATGCTGACTGTGTGATCAGCAATGTTGTGGCAAAATGGCCTGGCTCAGTCCATGACTCCAGAATCTTTCGGGCCTCTGAAATCTATCAGTGCCTATCACAAGGTAAGCCACACAACCCCTATTTATAACCATCATGGCTGTGTCAAGAATATCACTGTGTTTATGAGGTAGTAATGATGAGATTTTGTGTTGACAGGTGAATTCTCTGGTGTGTTGCTGGGAGACAGGGGGTATGGCTGCCAGCCTTTTCTCCTGACACCTTTCACAGACCCCCAGGAAGCACAGCAGGCCTACAACCATGCCCATGCCAGGACCAGGGCCAGAGTTGAAATGACCTTTGGCCTCCTGAAGGCACGCTTTCACTGCCTTCACAAATTAAGGGTCAGCCCTGTTAGGGCATGTGATATTACTGTGGCTTGTGCTGTCCTCCACAATGTGGCCTGCCTGAGGAAGGAGAGGGCCCCCAGAGTGCCACCAGCCATGGACTGGGACAATCCGGCAATCTTCCCTGATGACGACAGTGGTCGGCTGCTGAGGGACCAATATGTGTTGAATTATTTTAGTTAGTATGTGTGCTTTCAATTTTGGTTAAATATGTCCTGCGGTGGCAGAGGAATTTGGGTTTTTTTGGGTTCGTTTTTTTACGAATTTGGCCTCTTATGATGTTTGTGCGGTATACTGTGTGTAATACAAGGCTGCAGGGAGGCTACTGCATCCATTCATTTGTCTGTTCAGTTGATGTGTATGGATTTGTCCTGCATTTATTTTAGTGTGCAGACATGCAGGGTGTGTTATATACAGACCTTTGAATGTGTATGTATCATTTTGTATAATATGCTTGGATTCTGTGCTTTCCATCTTGTAGAGTCACTGTGACTTCAGTTTCGAAAGGAGCTGATGGTTTACCTGCTTTGTTTTGTCCTTATTCAATAAAGGAACATAATGTTACACATTGTGTTTTTATATTCATATGGAATGTGTATTTGTTTATATGACAGAGTACTAGGGCCACACTGAAGAAAAAGGATAAAGTCATAAATTTATGAGGCTGGTTCTTTCTGCAGAAAAGCTACATATTGTTTTTACAGTTTTGATACTTATGACAATGTGATACTTAATATTCTGCCACATCAGCATGTCTTTGTTTATGAAACCATACTGAAGTACAATTTCACGAAATGCCCCACATCTGTCATTTTAACAACTGTCCTCCTTTAAAACAACTGGTTACAATATTATGACTTGTGTTTTTTTCCCCTCTGTGGCCCTAATATTCTATCATTTTATATATAGCCTTATAGTCTATGGGAAACTGTAAATTATCTAATGATAGCAACATCATCTAAAAATCATTTTTTATCCAAAATCATTGAAATTAATGATCACAAACGTTTAAATAATGACAGTGGGTCTAGTTATATGTGATAACAATGTATAGTGAGCAGTGAAATAACTATTGGTTTCCATTTGTGGTGACTGCTGACTGACATTAGGGATGAGATTAAATAGATCCTGGAATTTAGCCTGGTCTGGAGCAGGCTAGCTCCACAGAATAAATCTCCATGGTAATTTATACCATAACATATCCTCCTGCCCCCTATCCATCTTTAGTGCAACCGGATTACGGATCAATTGAGCCAGGATCACCAAGATATCCTGGCTTAATCCCTTATCCTAGTTTTGTGCAACAGGCCCCAGGTGAAAGCTATGATCCCTAATTGATGTCACTTGTTAAATCCACTTCAATCAGTGTAGATGAACATCGCAAGTTTAAGACCATGCTTAGCCATTGTTCTCTCTCTTACGTCTGGTCTTAACAAGAGATGGTCACGGTTGTTTTATACGGTTATCCTTTATTTATTTGGCGTGGCTACGGCCAAACAGTAGCCTGTGTTGAGTTTCGTTAATAAACCGGGAATTCGTAAACTCAATCCTCTGTCTGGACATTTGTTCATTTATGATCTAGCCAGGTCATTACAGTATGTTTCCCATGCCAATAAATCCCTTGAATTTTAAATATGTGTGTGTGTGTGTGAGAGAGAGAGAGAGAGAGAGAAGAGAGAGAGAAGAGAGAGAGAAGAGAGAGAGAAGAGAGAGAAGAGAGAGAAGAGAGAGAGAGAGAGAGAGAGAGAGAGAGAGAGAGAGAGAGAGAGAGAGAGAGAGAGAGAGATTTGTTAAGTTACACTGCCACCCTCTGGTAACCACTGTACTTGTAGTCTTCATTTTGAAGATGTACACAATAACATCAGTCTAATCTGAAGTAAATAAATCAATTTTTACACTCTGCCATAGCTAAAATGCTACAATAATAGCACAACAACTGTAGCATTAATGTATGTTAGTGAAGGTTTGATTATAGGCTGGAATAAAAAAAAAGATGTTGCCATAACAGAACATTTTCGTAATTAAAGAGCAAATTCTCCATATGCCTATGGCTCCATCTCCTGGTCAGTAGTTGGACTGCAGCTTGAGATTATAAGTACTCTATAAACCTTTCCAGATCCAGTCATATTCTTTAAAATATGTAATGCAAAAATCAAGGGATGCAAAATTAGTGTCAAAAAAGTTTAAGTAGCTGGAATTACTGATTATCTGCAAGAAATGTAATGAATTTCACGTTTAACCATCTATTGGTTTAATTTGCTTTTCTCTTTCTCAGAATCAAGAGGTTTTCCCCTGAGCTCGTATAGCTGTTGACCTAGTTTGGATAGCCTGTCACGGTACTCCAGACTCCGGTAGTTGATCTCTGGCACCCCTCTGAAGCCGAACAGTGCGCCCCACCAGGCAGCAGCGATCACGGCCGTGGAGTCGCTGTCCCCGCCGTGGAAGAAGCCATGATTGGCCAGCTCAACCCAGGAGTCGCCTGCCCTCAGGAGGGCATCGTAAGCTATCATGGGAGCATCATGCCCACTGGCGCCACCCACACCCTTGAAGCTCACCGCCCTATAGAAATGCTCCCTCTCCTTCACTCCGTAGCACTCTGGGAACTGAAGTTTGCTCTTTCCATCCAAAATCCCTCTCTTTTCTAAATAGGCTCTCCACTGAATTCCAAAGTAGTCCCTGGAAAAATAAGATTAGTCAGAAGCAGATGAAGCTTACACACCATTCTACTTTGTAAACCCAGGCATAAATATAGGAATTAATTTGGCCTGAATTGTCGCAGCAAAAGAATCCTGCAGGAACAGGATTTGATCGTTTAGTCCATAATGTTGACTGATCGGTGGTTAGGCTATTAGCTGGTAAAATGAGGCTACATGAAAAGTGGAATACTGTTAATATAGCTGGGTGTTAATGTAGTTTTCTGTGAATTTATGTAAACCACGAAGCTCATATGCATTTCCTGCAGCTCAGGAAAATTCTCAGCAACAAAAAAAGGAACAAATTAAGATCCTATATCTGTGTTAGACAATGGTGTGTTAACTGGAAAATCTCATGGCAGTATGTCATATTTCTTTATAAACAACAACAACTTTCACTAATTAACATTGAGGTGTGAAGTGTGAACTGCATACAGTCAACCAAAGGAGGCTGTTGGGCAGAGATATAGGAGGACAGGCTTATTGTGATGGTTGGAATGGAGTGGTATCAAACATATCAAAGACATGGAAACCATGTTTTTGACACCGTTCCAGTCCGCCCACCGTTCCACTCTGCCCACTTTTCCACTCCGTCCACCAGCCTCCTCTGCAGCCAACAACAACAAAGGCCTCACCAGTGATCCATGTTCTGCTCCACATAGTTGCCCGAATGCCTGATGTACTCCTTGGCTTTGTCTAGGACATCCATGAGTCTGTGTCCCCAGGCCTCCACGGGCAAGGTGCCCCTCACTGCGTAGGCCGTGAACAGGGCTGCAGCCAGGGCACCCAGGTAGCCTGTGGGGTGGTGGTGGGTCAGACGCCCACTCTCCACACTCACAGCTATCAGCAGGTGCTCCTGCTCAGGGTCGGGGAAGCGCAGGCCGATACACATGGCCCTCATGGCTGCCCCACACCCTCCGCCCCACTTGTTGAAGGGAATCTTAATGCCCTGGTCAGTTCTCTGTCTGTGCATTGTAACGCTGTTGATGCAGGTGATGCCTACAGCGGAGACAGAGAGAGTATAAGTATTGAATTTAATGAAGATCAACATGTTGGTTTAAAACCAGTTAAATGTAACTAAATGTAATCGAAAATGTAATCTACGTCATCCACAAAAGTAATTATTTTTTATGATAGGGCCATAATCAATAACTAGTAATGTTGCATACTCAAATAAATGTTAAAATCTCACCTTTCTGGTAAAAATTGTTATAAATGACTGAGGTGTAGTCCCTTTTGAGGACACAAGCTCAACTACACAGTACAAATACGATAAAAAAACATGAAAGTATGAAACATTTTATATGATGCATTTCCTATTCAACAAAACTGTATGAATAAGACATTAAATTACTTATATGCTTTCTAAATATAGTATAATCAAATATTAAAATGACTAACTATGAGACTCAGTTGGTAGAGCATGGCGCTTGCGACAAGTGGGTTCGTTTCCCACAGCGGACCAGCACGAAAAAAGTACAAATATGAAAATGTATGCCCTCTACTGTAAGTTGCTCTGGATAAGACCGTCTTCTAAATTAGTAAAATGTTTAACGTAAAAATAATTGTATGTTTAGTGTTAAGAGAAAATGTGCAGATTTTCTAAAGGTCTCTCTTGATCAAAACGTCTGCCCCCATCGATGTGAACGTCTCACAGAGCTCTAGCTTGGCTTCCTGAAATCTTTAGGAACGCACCTTTCATCACTGTCTTTCTATGACAAACGGAAAGTGTTTTTTATTTTAGATTAATTGCTATAAATCCATCTCTGAATGTGCTGTCGTGATGAAACACATCTCTCCTGCTGCGCTACGATGTAACGACTGCAGGCATGTGCTTTGGATGTGAGGTAGGGTTCAGCCAGGAGTTGATGGACAGTCGGAAGAGCGAATGAAATGGTAGGTGGGACATCCCAGCTTAAAGTGGTTTCAGATGTCACATCCTACGATAAGGCTCACAAAATATACTACTGTGTCCGTGGGAACCAGGGATATCGCTCAATGCAAGCCGTTTCGATCTACGGTGTCCACAGAACGATTTAAGCCAAAATGTCGGTCAGAACCGCTACCAGAACCACGCAGGTCCTCTATACAGGGGACTTTACATCTAAGTTAAGTGTACCGTGCCCCTGTGTGCATAAATATTGCCATTTGCCACTCATGTTAACACAACATGACACACTTCATAAAGACTAAAAACGGTTACATACCTGCTCCTCTTCCAACCATGTCTGTCATGCTTACAATGTACTTCTCCACCATGGCTTGATACAGCACAGGGAGGGACGCCCCTTCCCCAAACCCTAACTTGACCAGAGCCTCAGCTGTAGCCAGATGCATGACGGTGTCATCACTAACAGGGAAGTCTATGGCATCCAGCTTCTCTAGACCTCCTCTCTTCTGCACTTCCTCATGGATGAACGCTCCATCCTTTTCAAACTCCCAGTTACCATGGTTGTAGCCCAGGGCATCTCCTGCTCCACTCAGGACCATGCTGGCCTTGTACCTCTCTTCCAGGGGGACCATGTCTGACATGGAGAGATCTGGTTGGTGTTCAGTTACTTCTGTAAGAGATTCCATTGGATCATTGACTAATTGAATGTTACATTGAATGTCTAATAATATAAAATACAGAAAAAAGCTGTTGAGGCGAGATAACAGACAGTCAACCATAATGAGAGTCACTGAACCATCAATGATCAAAGACGCAACTTTACAGAATGTACACAATACAAGTTCAGCTAGTGCTGTAAATAGATACCTTGTGGTGGTGGTTGATTTTATAGACTTACATAGGCAGAACTTGAGGATCGGTTCCCTTCCGGTAATTCTTTACTTTATATTGTGCAGTCTCCACTCACCCCACGAGTCATGACAAACACTTCCTGGAAAAAGGCCTTTCGAATTTTGAATATGAAGTTGCAATTGCCCCATCTGCTGGAAGTAAATGGGAAATTAATTGTTTATTGACTATCGTACACTATCCGAACGGTCTATTCTCCACTTTATGCCGTATAAAACGTTTATAGGTTATTGTTTATATTAAAGTTTGACCAAGGATGCCGCCCATGAAGTACACACTTTGAATTGTACGATAAAATAGTTAACTGTTGATTAAACTGACAGTGTGTCCTCACTGTGAGAAATCTTGCTGACTGCGTCGCTCAGGAGTGTTGTTACCGTGAATCAGAGAATGATGAAGAAAAGAGACATTCTACTCGTTCATTTTTGTCTGGTTCATTCAGTCAATGAACTAAGCAGACCAAACCCAGCTGCTTTCGCATTGTTGTCTATAGGAGAGCCACACCCTTAATCGGACTGAAACTTTGACAATTTCAGTGGTGTAAAGTACTTAAGTAAAAATACTTTAAATAACTACTTAAGTAGTTTTTTTGGGTATCTGTACTTACTTTACTATTTATATTTTTGACAACTTTTACTTCACTACATTCCTAAAGAAAATATTGTACTTTTTACTCCATACATTTTCCCTGACAACCAAAAGTACTCGTTACATTTTGAATGCTTAGCAGGACAGGAAAATGGTAAAATTCACACACTTATCAAGAGAATACGTGGTCATCCCTACTGCCTCTTGACTGGCGGCCTCACTAAACACAAATGCATATTTTGAAAATAATGTCTGAGTGTTGGTGTGCGCCTGGCTATCCATACATTTTAAAAACAAGAAAATGGTGCCGTCTGCTTTGCTTAATATAAGGATTTTTTTTTTATAATTTATACTTTTACTTTTGATAGTTAAGTATTTTTTAGCAATTACATTTACTTTTGATTCTTAAGTATATTTAAAATCAAATACTTTTATACTTTTACTCAAGTAGTATGTTACTAGCTGACTTTCACTTTTACTTGAGTAACTTTCTATTAGTAAGACTTCTTATTTATCCTCCATCTTTGGGTGATTTTCCCCAGACCCCAGGAAAACCCCAAGATGATGTAAAATCCTGGTTCAACCAAAACCATCAACAAACAATTGTTTTGGAGCTTATTGATAATGTTACCAAATTAGTTTACATCTTATGCTTTATATCTTGATATTAAGTGTAAACCATTCATATTGTACACTGAGTATACGAAACATTAACAAAACCTGATCTTTCCATGACATAGACTGACCAGGTGAATCTAGGTGAAAGCTATGATCCCTAATTTATGTCTATAAATCGATCTCTGAATGTGCTGTCGTGATGAAACACATCTCCCTGCTGCGCTACGATGTAACGACTGCAGGCATGTGCTTTGGCTGTGAGGTAGGGTTCAGCCAGGAGTTGATGGACAGTTGGAAGAGCAAATGAAATGGTAGGAGGGACATCCCTGCTTTAAGTTGTTTCAGATGTCACATACTACGACAAGGCTCACAAAATATACTACTGTGTCCGTGGGAACCAGGGATATCGCTCAATGCAAGCCGTTTCGATCTACGGTGTCCACAGAACGATTTAAGCCAACATGTCGGTCAGAACCGCTACCAGAACCACGCATCTAAGTTAAGTGTACCGTGCCCCTGTGTGCATAAATATTGCCATTTGCCACTCATGTTAACACAACATGACACACTTCATAAAGGACTAAAAACGGTTACATACCTGCTCCTCTTCCAACCATGTCCGTCATGCTTACAATGTACTTCTACACCATGGCTTGATACAGCACAGGGAGGGACGCCCCTTCCCCAAACCCTAACTTGACCAGAGCCTCAGCTGTAGCCAGATGCATGATGGTGTCATCACTAACAGGGAAGTCTATGGCATCCAGCTTCTCTAGACCTCCTCTCTTCTGCACTTCCTCATGGATGAACGCTCCATCCTTTTCAAACTCCCAGTTACCATGGTTGTAGCCCAGGGCATCTCCTGCTCCACTCAGGACCATGCTGGCCTTGTACCTCTCTTCCAGGGGGACCATGTCTGACATGGTGAGATCTGGTTGGTGTTCAATTACTTCTGTAAGAGATTCCATTGGATCATTGACTAATTGAATGTTTATTAATATAAAATACAGAAAAAAGCTGTTGAGGCGAGATAACACACAGTCAACCATAATGAGAGTCACTGAACCATCAATGATCAAAGACGGAACGTCACAGAATATTCAGATATGAAAGTATTGTTTAGATTTACAGGATGTACACAATACAACTGGAGCTAGTGCTGTTAATACATCCCTTATGCTGGTGGTTGATTTTATAGACTTATATAGGCAGAACTTGAGGTTCGGTTCCCTTCCGGTAATTCTTTACTTTCTATTGTGCAGTCTCCACTTCCCCCCCACCTCCCCCCACCCACGAGTCCACACTGTGAGAAATCTAGCTGACTGCGTCGCTCAGGAGTGTTGTTACTGTGAAACAGAGAACGATGTGGAAGAGAGACGTTCTACTCGTTCATTTTTTTCTGGTTCATACAGTCAATGAACTAAGCAGACCAAACCCAGCTGCTATTGCATTGTTGTCTATAGGAGAGCCACCCCTTAATCGGACTGAAACTTTGAAAAAAAAATTCAATGGTAAACGACCTTAGTAAGACTTCTTTATTTATCCTCCATCTTTGGGTGATTTCCCTCAGACCGCAGGAAAACCACAAGATTATGTAAAATCCTGGTTCAACCAATGTCATCAACAAACAATTGTTTTGGAGCTTATTGATAATGTTACCAAATTAGTTTACATCTCATGCTTAAATCTTGATATAAAGTGTAAACCATTCATATTGTACATTGAGTGTGCAAAACATTAAGGACACCTGCTCTTTCCATGACATAGACTGACCAGGTGAATCTAGGTGAAAGCTATGATCCCTAATTGATGTCACTTGTTAAATCCACTTCAATCAGTGTAGCTGAACAGGGGAGACAGGTTAAAGAAGGATTTTTAAGCCTTGAGTCAATTGAGAGATGGATTGTGTATGTCTGCCATTCAGAGGGTGAATGGACAAGACAAAAGAGGGGGGTGCAACTCAACATTAGGAAGGTTTTCTTAATGTTTTGTGCACTCAGTGTATATCTACGTTTTGGTAATGGAAGTATGCTGGTAACCAAATTGAATTTAAGTTAGGACAACATTAACTGCAGTGAAACCTACCACAAGGCATGCACAACTAACTTTCAAACTACACTTTGGGCAAGGGAGATGTTTGAAACAAGCTGTTACTAAAAACAGGCCAAAAAGGAGAAGCGGAAAACCACACAAGTTGTTGTCTCGTACATCAACTCTCTGCTGCAGGAGGGAGATAATTCTGATCGACCCTGTTTCTAATTTGTGTGATGGTCAGATCTCACATCTACATGCGTTAGTAATGTCTATTCACTTTTGAAGTTAAAGCAAATTTCAGTCAGACTATTTCTGTGCAAGTGGCATCCTTCAGGAAGTGGGGTCCTGAGCCTGCGCCATATAACAGACGTTCACATCAACTGTAGAGCAGCAGTGAAAGACATGGTGGTTTGACTACAACACGTGATGAAACCTACTTCCTCTAAAAGGAAGACTTACACTCTTTCTCTCTTTCTCTTTTTGTGATCTGTGACAGATTGATATGATAGAGGCATGGCGGGGACGAGGTAAAAAAGACACCATTCTAGTGGGTTTGGGTTTGCAAATTCAAAGATGCTGTCATTGTTGTTTCCTTTCTTTTAAAAGTATTTGGGGTTTAGTGGGGGCCATTGGTGACTTAAAGAGATGTAACATCTGGGCAATGGTGTCAGTGGCCTGGGTCCTAACTGGACGTGGCTGATGGGTGGAAAGTTGTAGACACGTGAGGAATGTCTGTTATTCTTGAGTATTATAGTCCAGAATCGTTATAACATGGTAGATGTTGTTTAGGAATGCCCTGTCTACGTGCAGTTAAAACAGGACATGTTAGATGCCACAGGATACAGTAGCATTTCTGATGAACAAGTGTGAATGTAAAAAATATATAGAATTTGTATGTCTCTTTTTTTTACGTTGTTAAACTGAAGCTTAGGAGTTTCCTAGCTTTTTGAACTCACTCCCAATCTTCAAATCTGTGATATCACTAAAACTGCATTCATTATCCTGTCTGTCAATTGACATTTCTGCATAAGTCTTTACCAGAAATATGACGATTTGTATCACATGGCCATCATTATTTACTGCATTGTTAATGTGGTAATCAGTAACAAGAAGAGATGCAAAACATCAGTACTGGTTGATTTCTGAATCTGTTTTTTTGGGTGGGGGAGGGAGTTTGAGATTTGCTTCCTGTTATGAGACACTTTGTGCAACTTAAAAAAAAAACATCAATCAATAGCACACACAAAAAAAACACAAAGAAACACTAAAATATTTGATGACATTGGCTGGATGTGCCATAGTATTTACATTTACATGAACATTGTTTAGATTGAACATAGATTTTTGTCAGTGGGTAGACTGTTTATTATTTGTGAGAATCCTTCAATAAGCAGACTGTGAGTTTTTCCTGCTCATCGACAGATACATTACAGCAAGAGGTATGTTTTGCAATGCTTTGATGAGGCAACCATAACAGGAAGGAAGGTTAAAGTCCTCAAGCTTAGACCAGACTTCTTGCAGTGTCTTCCCTTAAATGTTCCTCATCTCCTGAGTGTCACTACTAAACCAAATAAATTAATGCACTCCCAAAAGCAAAAACAGCACTTTAATGGCCTTCTATTAAGTGTTTTACATCCATTTAATTATTAGAAATCGTATCAGTTGGATACTACTTATTATTTATCAATATTTGAATCAAAAGAGGACCATCACGCTCACCCAAAAGTGTGTTTGGGGTATAAAACCAGTGAATTCAGATAAGCAAAAAATGTGATGGGTCAGCCCTCAAAAAGATGTTGCGTAAAGCATACTTCATTATTTTTTTTAAAGTATCATTTTTTACTGCATCAGGATAGCATACACAGACATTTTGTCTGAATAACCTTCTTCAGTATATAGGTTATTTTACATCCATTGATTTATATGAAATCTTATAAATTGGATAATAGTTCTTTTTTTCATCAATATTTTAATCTTAACATCCACTTATGTTTTCATCTCCTTTTGACCAGAATCAGCAATCTTCAGAATGTAGGGAAACAGCCGCCTCTGATTCTGCCCCACCAGTTGACCGGAGCAGCACAAGGTACAGTCCAGATGCGCATCAAGAGCTCTCAGAACAGTGGGGAACGCCTGAGTCAAACCAAGTCCATGGTCCTGCAGGATCCTGACCTGCCTCCCAAACCTGTGAGTATACACTGAGTGTACAAAACATTAGGAGCACCTTCCTAATATTGAGTTGAACACCCTTTTGCCCTCAGAACAGACTCAATTTGTCAGGGCATGGACTCTACAAGGTGCCGAAAGCATTCCACAGGGATGCTTGCCCATGTTGACTCCAATGCTTCCCACAGTTGTGTCAAGTTGGCTGGTAGTGGATCTCTTCTCCGAATAGCTCGTTCCATCTCATCCCACAGATGCTCAATTGGATTGAGATCTGGTGACTGGGCAGGCCACTGCAATATGCTGTATTCACTGTCAAGTTTGTGGACTCGTTCCTGAACAATCCTAACCTTGTGGCATGGGGCATTATCCTGTTGAAAAAATATACTGCTGCCATGAAGGGATGCACCTGATTGGCAATGACGTTCAGATATCCTGTGGCATTCAAACATTGCTCCACTTTTATTAAGGGGCCCAATGTGTGCCATCACAACACCTACATCAGCCTGCAATGTTGACACACGGCATGTTAGATGCATGTACTCATGTGGTTTTCTGCATACCCTAGTCCTCCCATCAGCGTGAAACAGCAGGAACCGGGATTCATCAGATCAGGCAATGTTTTTCCAATTCTCCTGTGTCCAGTGTTTTCGTTCCTTAGCCCACTGCAACCGCAGTTTCTTGTTTTTTGCTAAAAGAAGTGGAACTTTGTAAGGTCGTCAGCTGCCATACCCCATTCGCGTCAAGGTAAAACGAGTTGTGCATTATTTGGACACCAATACTGTACTGTCAGTTGACTAACTGTAGCTCGTCTGTTGCTCTGCACACTTTGTGTCAGCCTGCCTTTGGGTGGTGGACCATTCTTGATACACAAGGGAAACTGTTGAGTGTGGAAAAACCCAGCAGCGTTGCAGTTCTTGACAGTTGACACACTCAAACCGGTGTGCCTGGCACCTACTACCATACCCCGTTCAAAGACATTTAAATATTTTGTCTCTAAATATCATTCACCCTCTGAATGGCACACATACACAATTGTCTCAAGTCTTAAAAATCCTTCTTTAACCTGTCTCCTCCCCTTCATCTACACTGATTAAAGTGGATTAAACAGGTGACATCAATAATAGATCATAGCTTTCACCTGGATTCACCCTGTCAGTCTATGTCATGGAAAGATGAGGTGTTCCTAATGTTTTGTGCACTCAGTGTAGGTGTATACACACACAGTTGCATGCACACACACGCACACACACACACACACAGACCTATCAGCTGGATATACTCTGATTTTAGAGGCTTATTGAATATTGTTAGCCATTTGTTGAACTGTGTTTATATAAATTCCAGTAATTATGATTATATTCTTTATAAACCGTTGTCGCACATTAGGTGATTATCATTAGCTTAATTGAGCTGATCTCTGTTTGACTCTGAGCACTTCCCTGTGGGAAAATCAGGGTAAAGATAAAACAGATGATGCATTTACAAAATGAGCAGTCTGGTGTAGCATATTTGGAATAATGTAGCTACCGTGTTGACAATGAACTGGACATAACCCCAACCATTTAATATTTTTCATAAATTGGTGGAGGGGCTGGCTGACACCTCTATTTAGCATAGTGGTTCATGCCTCGTATCATACAATACATCTGTCTGTTGGCTGGAATGTTAATCTGCAAAATTTCATCAGATACAAAATAGTATTAGATGTGTTTACAACAGGCCA